CTAAAAAGGTCAAATACACATAAAAATTATTTGGAAAAATATTGTATAAATTTGAATGGAAGCTACTAGTTTAATATAATATTGGTAAATAATATAAAAATTGCAATAAATTTTATTCCTTTTATACATATTCTTTGCAATTTACTATTCATAAAACAACATATAACTTGGTTATTAAATATTTTTGTTTCTATTTTTATACATCCATTATTTAATTAAAACATAGGTTAGAGTGATAATTTATATAATAAAAACTTTTATACTAACACAAAAGGTGGATAGTGTTCATATTATATTATATATATATAAACTCGATTGAGTTTCAATTTTAAAAATTTCATAGTTAATTAAATTTATTTATTTATTTTCATATTTTATTTGTAAATTTATTCTTCTCAAAACAATAGCTTAAATATTTCTTTTATTTTTTCATTCGCATTCATAGTTAAAAACACGAATTAAGCAATTACTTATAATAATAGAACTTTCATTTGAATTCCTAATCTAACAATATTAATGCAAATTATTTGAAAATCTCATTAAATAAATAAAGAGTTTAAAAGTATATATGTGTACATACATGACTATATATTTTTAAGCCTATTAAAAGCCAAAAGGCAAAAAAAGAATACACAATTAATATAATATGTATCTTTTTAAAATGATGAAAGCATAACAATATAATAAATTATCACAATTAATAAACAGATATTATTTTTATTAAAATAAAAAAAAATAAAAAAGCAAATAAAGTTAAAAAAACACATTCAATGATCACATTTAATCCAATTTTAAATGAGTGTACTATATTTAAAATTTTAAAAAACTAAAAAACTAAAAAAATTCAAAAGACACAATCAATTATCACAATTAATAGATAAATATACTTTTTAAAGTTGAAGAAATGAAAAGGTAAAAAACAAAAAATGAACGATAAACTACCACAATTAATAGATAAATATTATTAAAAAATAAAAAAGTAAAGTTAAAAGGCAAAGAAAGTAATACATAATGAATTTAATATCTCTTTAAAATTATGAAAATCAAAAGATAAAAAAAAAAAAACACAATCAATTTTTACAATTAATAAATATATTTATTTTTATTAAAATTAAAAAAAATTAAAAGGCAAATAAAGCCCAAAAAACATGATCAATTATCACAATTAATCTAATTTTAAATAAATAAATATTCTCTTCAATATCATAAAAAATCAAAAAATAATAAAACCCAAAATAGAACCAATTATCATAATTAATAGATAAATATTATTTTTAAAACTAAAGAAATCAAAAAAATAAAGAAAGCCAAAGATACACAATTAATTAATAAATATGACTTTTAAAATTGAAGAAAAAGAAAAGGTAAAAAAAGCCAAGAAAACACAATTAATATATAATTATTACTTTTAAATCGAAGAAAACAAAAAGGTAAAGAAAGCTCAAAAAACCAATTATAATAATTAATTATTAAAATTTATTATATATTATATAATCAATTTTATGATTATTAACGAATATACTTGTTAGCAAATTCATTAATTAAAAGATATTATTTTCAAAAGTATAAATAATTTATTTGTCTCTTAAAATTTTAAAAATTTTATTTTGTGGAACAAGTTCATTTGAATTTTTATACAAGGTTAAAATAGTAAAAAGTTCTAATGTGTGGTAACAAAGTTTTAATTAAAATTTTTATATATTCTAAATTTATCATCTAATAATTCATAAAATTATAAAAAGAATTATATTGTTTTATATTTATTTTTCATTTTTAATTGGATAATCAAGTTCAATATTTTTATTTGATTAATTTATTTACAAATAATGATAAATGCTCTTTGTACTATTTATTTTTTTCACTTTAAAACTTTTTACTAAATTTAATAAAGTTGAGTCTCATAATTTTTTAATTAAAAATAAAAATATTTTATCTAAGTTTTCCAACTAATTATTTAGTAACATGTCTTTTTTGGTATTAGAATTACAAATTCATTAATGTGATTCACAAGATCAATTTTGTGTAAGGAGTAGTGAATTTTTCTTTTAAATAAATTTTAAGATGCAATAATATTAAAACTTAAGAAAGTGTTATATATCTTTGTATTTTAATTTTTTTTATGTATAAGACGTAATTTGATTAAAAGTATCACAAAAAATATTTAGATTAAATCTTAATAGAGCAAAATTACTTAAATATAATTAATATAAACCAATTTTAAAGAATTTTAGTCCTAACAATATTTTTATAATGAATTCAAATGCAATATGATTGGCATAGGTGAATTTTCTTGGGTTCAACTCCTTAAACATAAGTCTCTTAAGAAATATAAATTTTAGTGCAATTATAAATTGTAAAAATTCATAATACATCTTATTATTCAGATTAACAGTATAATGTGTGAGTACATGAGATTTTCACTAATATTTTTTACAATTAATTTTGCATTTGTACTTGTTAATATATAGTTTATAACGTTTGTAATGGTAATAAGATATTCTCCTCTTTTTAGATAAATAAAACACACCATTTATTGAAAAATAAAATTTATATAGAATAAATTCATGATACAAATAATATTTTTTATCATCAAATAACTAAAAAAATAAAACTAACATTTATGTTCAACTTGTTAGGGCAAAGGGAACAATTATCGTTTATTGAAAAATAAAATTTAAATAGAATAGATTTGTGATACAAATAATATTTTTTATCATCAAACAACTAAAAGAACAATAAAACTAGTATTTACATTCAAATTGTTAGGGCAAAGGGAACAATTTAATCCATCTTTACTATTGGGATTTTCATATTTATATTTAAAATTTAAGTACAATATTAAAAAAATAAATATGATATTGATCATAAATATAAAATCATATAATTATCATTTTATAAATTTGAATACTGTCTAATTATGAAATTAACCATGCAAAGCACAAGTGTAAAAAATCTAGTAATGTATAAACATGAATTATCATAATTTAAGTGACAAATATATGGAAGTGGTTGAATTCACATTTTTCTCTATTGAATATTTAAGTGCAATATACACCAATGGCATAGTTTAAAATTTTCAATGCTTGTATCATCCTACTTCAAAATGTTAAGCTCGAATCCTCCTTCTCTTCATATGAAATCAAAAATAAAATTTATTAATTATCATCTATTCATTTAAAAATAAATAATTAAAGAAGTCAACATTAGATTATGCCATGTCATTATTACCATCTCAAATACAAAAGCCACATAAATATCATGAATTGCCACATAAGCATAAGCATAATTTATAATTAATAAAAGGTCACATTAAAATTAGAATCTAAACTCTTTGCATATAGGAGTATTTTTTTTTCTTTTGTATTTATAGTAAGGTTGTTAATATCATACTTGATAATATTTCGATTTTAAAAAAAAGGAGTATGTTGGTATTAATTGCTTTGATAAATTATTTAGGATTTTTTGATTTAATACAAATATATTTATAAATATACTTGTATATAATACTACTATTACTAATAATCTACTAAATAAATATTTAATATCTTCAAAAACTAAATAAATAATGTTAAAAGTATAAAAAATAATATTATCAATTTATCATGATAGTTTTAAATATTTAATCTAATCATATGATATTTAAATGAGTATTTTTTTTCATGTAAATATTAAAATAAAAACATAGAAATAAAAAAATTAACCTTAGCTTCATTATTATTAAACTTTAGAAAAATCGTACAATTATTTTCTTGAAAGAAATTAAAATACTTATAAACTTTAATTTGAAAAAATAAAATATAAAAAAATAAAAAAAACTTTCAAGAATTATTTTGTTAATTAATTTTATTTTTATTAAGTTCAAAATAGTCAAACAACAAAAGACAAATTATAAAATTATAAAAAATTCCACATTCATGTATCAACTAAATAAGTTAATTCATTGAAATTCACTAAAATCAACAAAAATAATTAATATTATCTTATATTAAATTTAATAAAAAAATTATATTTAAGTGTATCGTATTTTGATATAATTAGAATATACAAAATAAAATTAACAACATTAATTTATAGATAAATATAAATACAATGTATAACTAATCAATTAAGATTTAATCTAATGATTATTATTTCTTCTTTAAAATATTAAAATTTAAAATTCGAATTTTATCACTTCCACCTTTTCATACAAAACCCTCAAAAATCCAATCCAAAGAAAGTGAAGCAAAACAGGGGCCGATATATAAGTGACGTGAGACCAACAAACATGCCCTTATTTGAGTTTTGAGTTCTTTTGGTTTTGGGCAGCATACCTCCAGTGTCTAATTCCTCAGTCACTCATATTCTTCACCCTCGGCATTCAGGATGATAACATAATTTGTATATGATAAATTTTAATTTATTTATATTTTATAGAGTTGATTTTTATTTAAAATTAAATGTTAGATCAAGTGGAGTTTTTTCTTTAAAATCACGCTTGAATTTGAATTAGGTTTTAAGTGATATCGCCCCAACCTAGATATATATTATTTATTTAATTTTATATTTATATATTATATAAATAAAATTAATATTTAATATTTTAATTTAAAATATTAATTTAATAAAAATGTTATATTTATGTATAATTAAAATATAATTTATATTAACAAAATAAAATTTATAAATATTATATTAACTTAAAATTATTAAATTAATTTTAAATCATAGAATACAATTTATGAATATATAAATCAGATTAAATATTAAAATTAATATTTTAATATCAAATTAATTTTTATCATAGATATTAAAAAATGGGACCGAACCAAAGCCTGTTCCGATTGCCATGTCTAAAAACTTCCTACCAAAAACCAAAGTACCCCACAGACTATGTGGACCCCTGATACATGGTAGGTCCACATTTTAATAGGGTCCCACTAACTCTAATTTAACTCCTAGGACATTAATTTAATGCATATAAAAACCCTAAAAAGGCGTTACTGTCTACGTTTCTCACCATTCTCTCTTTCTACTCCTGTGGGGATCCGCACAATGGCGGATTATAGTGGAGCTATCTCTCTTTCTCATGCTCGCAACTCCGACGATGACTCATCTGAGCACAGCCCTCGAAGTGTCCCAACGCTCTCTGCCTCTGGAGGAGGCATTGGCTCTTCCAAATCTAAAACTCCTAGCAACAAAATTATTGCACTTGATCATCATCATCACCACCATCCTTCGTCATCCGAGAACACTGCTAGGAAGCCTAGAGGTAGGCCTCCAGGATCCAAAAACAAGCCCAAACCACCAATTGTTATAACCAGAGACAGTGATTCAGCTATGAAGCCAGTGATTCTCGAGATCTCTGCTGGTTCTGATATTATTGATACTATTATCAGCTTTGCTCGTAGAAACCATGTTGGTGTTAGCATTATCAGTGCTACTGGCTCTGTATCAAACCTCACGCTCCGCCATCCTGTTTCTCATGCTCCAGCACTCTCTCTACATGGACCCTTTGGCCTACTCTCTTTGTCTGGCTCATTCTTTGACTCTACTACTTTATCTTCTTCTAGTAAAACACCCCAATCATCTTCATCATCAACTTCACCGTCTCCTTGTTCGTTGCCTTCTCCTCGGTCTTCTTTTTTTGGTGTAACTCTTGCAGGGGCACAAGGGCAAGTGTTTGGAGGGATAGTTGGAGGGAAAGTAATGGCAGCAACGCAGGTGATTGTGGTGGTTGCTACGTTTATAAGCCCAGCGTTTCACAGGCTGCCGTGTGAAGGTGATAATGAAGATCACCATCAGGATGCCAAGCCTTGTATTCGTGGTAGCGATGGTGGTGGTGGTGCTGCTGTTGGTGCAACCGAGTCTTGCTCATCAACTGGCATGTCCATGTCTGTTTATGGCGTAGCAAGTCCTACTCCACTCAATTGCCAGATCTCTCCCCCTGATGTTATGCCTTGGGGCCCTTCCTCACGTCCTTATTGAGAAGAAAATGAACGATATGGGAGAATCCCAACATACCTTGTCTAGGTAGCTTATGGTTTTACACCATCATCGATCTTAAGCTCATAGGAACTGTTTTGGGTGTGAGCTTTTCGGCAATATTCATTTATCTTTCCTTGGCATATAATATTTGTAGTTGCAATTGGTTGTCTCATTGCACTTGCAAATTTAAACGATACCTAGCTTTTATATGTCGCTATTATTAATTATCCTCATGCTTATTGAATGATAAAAAAAAAAAAAAAAGCTGTTTCAGCTTTCTATCGTCTTCATCTTGCTCCTCCTTTATGCTTATACATGTTTATGGTGTTAAGATTTGTTTTTTTATGGATCACCAAGAAAAGGCTTGCAGGTTTTTTCTCTTCTCGGCAAAGAAAGACTAGTATGGTATGGACGGTGGTGGTGGGGCTTCAGTTTCAGGATTTAGGCCTAGTTCACAAAGTTGAGTGCTGCGTTACAGAACCAATGGAAATGTCAGTTCTTGAGGAATTCAATGTCAGGGTCTAACCTCCCCCCTCGGGAAGGGCCCATTTCTTTTGACACCTCCAAAGCAAAAGGGCTCAGATAATAAGCCAGAGTGCAGGAAAGATACTATCTATCCGAAGCGCTGTCGACCATGAAAGGCTAGACTCTATATACTGTTGCTGGTATCTGTCAATTCATTACTGAGCTCTTTCCTTTCTTGTCCTCGCGTAGAGCAGATCAGACGCTTTATGTTTTAAATCATCTTTGTTTTCATTCGGCTTAAGTCTTTACTCATAGTAAATGATCAAATACAACATGGGTAGTTTCTAATCATTCTACTTTAAAATGATGTTTTTCTTTTTGTCAACCTCCATTCCAAGCTTAGAATGTTCTTACAATTAAGAGTAGTATATAATCCTACATTCAGTTCCTCTTGCAAGCACGAGACGTACTTCAAAGGTAGAAAGAGAATTTCATATTGGATAAGAAAGAAAAAGTACTTGGATATATAAATGGCACATTTAATAAGTCGATTTTATAATAAGATTGTAATGACCTAATAATAAAACTACCTTGTGACGATCTGACTCCACATCAAACGTTCGGACCGAATAAGCAGTGTGAACCAATGAGGACGACGAAAGTAAAGTGTTATGAGATTGGATGGAAGAAAATATCACGCTATAGTATTATTTGCTAAGCGTTTCAAAGTATAATAAGCAAGTTGCATTCAATCTTATATGGCATAAGAAAATATTATGAAGGTAAGAGAGTCGTGATACACCCTTCTGCTTAAATGGGAATTACATCCAATGGGATATGGATATATATAACATTCTGATATCCCATACATTTAAATTATTATGTATCTGTTCTTTTGTATATGTGAAATGTACCCAAATATAGTATGCTAGATATTTGATAGTACCGTAGAATATAATAAAATGCTTCATGAATTAATATGATAATTAAATGTAGATCATATTATTATATATCTAATGTTAGATAATTAGTTTGTGTAAGAAGAAATAGTTTATGAGTTTTGCCTTTTTTTTTAGCTGTTAACATTTGTGTAGCAGACCCCACTCGCTCCACTGTTAATGACAGATAATGGAATTGATCATCCAAAGGATAAAGAAAAAAAACCAACAAACATTTCGGTGTTTTATTTTATTTTTTGTTTTGGAAGATAATCTTTCATTTTCAATCAGAAGAGAAGAGAGTCCAAAATCCAGTCAAAATGCGCAGAACATACATAGCTTTCATACGTACTATCAGAGAGCAGTAATTCGATCCCAAGTCCCAACCTTTCTTCTGTGCTCCCCATTTATTGCCCTTTTGTCCACTTCTTCTCCCTTTACAATTCACAACATGAAATGAGAAAGGGAGGGAAGAGAGAGGTAAATTTTTTCTGACTCATAAAAATGATGAAAACTACTGTGGTGGAAATGCATGGACTGTTCAATGGGCCTGGCTCCCTCGCTCATGGTCATGGATGGAAGTGACTGCAGACGACTGAGTAGGGTTGAGCAAGTGGGCGCACGCGGGTTCAAAGACAAGGCTGGGTCTGCACATGTGTCATTCATCTATTGGCCAATTATTTTCACGAGCAATCTAACAGTAAAAGTAAAGCTGCTTTGACTTCGTCTTTTTGTAAAGGAAAAAAAAAACGAGTCTTCGTTATAATAAAAAATAATATATTAATACTTATAAATTATTTAAATTTAATTTAAATAAAATTTAAATTAATTATTATTATTAAATTGAACTTAAATTTAAATAATTTAATTTATCTATCGAATCAAATTTAAATATTTTTATATTTGATTGAATTATTTACGAATCTAATTAAATTTATATTTTAATATATTTTAATTGATAAAATATTTAAATTTGAGTTTATATTTTAATACAAATAATCGAGCTTTTATCGAATATAAAAATTAAAAAAAATTTTATATGTTAATTAAGTTTATTTTTTTATATTAATTAAATTTAATCAAGTGAATTCAAATAATTTTATTTTTATCTCGAATCGAATTCAATTAAACAAATAAAATTTGATTAAATTTAAATTAAATTTAAAATTTAAACTCAAATTTAAATTTAAATTTAATATTAATCGATCATAATCTTCGCTCGTACAGTCATTTATGCTTACTGGCTACCGGTACTTAAAAGTTAAATCTATAACTTTGAACTTCTCTTCCCCTGGTCAAAACTCAAAAAACTTCAAAATCCCTCCAGCGCGATATTATTATTAAATTTTTATAACTTTAAATATTATACAGTGAGGTACTATCGAAATATTATTATTATATAATTTGAATTTTTAATAAAATTTTATATAAATTTAATAAAAAAATTATTTTATTTATAACACAAAATTTATATTAAAAAAACAAATATGATATAAATAACCCAATTGACAGAACCTATTGCCAGGTTCAGGTCTGACTGCTTTTTTTATGTTTAAAGGGTATATGAACTAGGGCTAAGCTAGTTTGTGAAAGTGAAAGTGAAAGGGAACCAGTGTTGGAATTTAGAAACTGGGAAAACCATACATTGGGAATTGGAATACTAGTTAATTTATTCATGGTGACTTTTCGCAAGAAATAGACTTCTCCTGACCATGAGTATCGGAGTGGCTCTTTGTTTCACTGGTTAGGTTTTAGCATCAAGAGCTAAGACTTGAAGGGAAGAGAAAGGTACCTAGCAGTTACTACTGGCCGCCTTGCTGGGGATGGAGAAGTGGGGGCCTATATGTTGGGTGACATTCTCCAATGCCGCGCTGACTCATTCTACCAAAATCCTTTTTTTTTGGCTAAATTTCTACTAGAGTCTTTCAGTACTTACAAATGTATTCCAGGTTTTATTTCCTTTGTGTGAGTACGTGGGGGACACATTGGAGACTTGATGGTATTCCTTGGTTTCTCTTGCTTCCCCACCTCAACTCCTAGCTAGGGGTTACGTTTCATGCTCATGCGTATTCTAGCTCAAATTTTTTCCTCCACTTTCATTCCCACAAAAGTAAAAATGGAAACTGTTAAATGAGTATAATGAGTGTGTTGGTAATATAAATTTTAAAAATAAATATTTTACTTTTTATTCAAATTATTTAAATTATGCCATATATGTTAATTTTTTTTTTTAATTTTATGTTTAAGTTTAGCTTCAATCTTTATTATCCATTGATTTTACATTTGATGTTTGACATTATTTTGTCTCATGGTATGTTTGCTTTTTTTTTTTTAGTAACACATTTTATATTTCTTTTTTTCAAATGCTAGTTATAAGTTTAGATCTGCCTCAAGCCTTTGACTTAATGATTAAAGACATTTAAGAGAACATTAAGGGTCTGATTTCGAATCAAACTTTTTTTTTCTTTTACTTATATTAAGATTTTGTCCTCCTAATGTAACAAAAAAAAAAGTCTAGATCTAAATATAAGGCACATACAAAGGAGTGGAGTTAATTAACCTTACTTAACTCTAGAAAACCAAAGTTTATTAGGGATTAAAATAGATTTTTTTTTTTTTGCATTTTTATCCCATTGAAATTAATTAAAAATATAAAGCAAGAGGAACAAAATAAGTAAATGACAATGTCTTTGAGTAATATATAGTTTTAAAAAGTGTTAAAAGGCTTTATATTAGTATTATAAATATGATCATTTTTTTTCAATTTAATTTTTACACTATTTGAGATTTTCAAATATTAAACTTTAATCATTGAAATTAAAGTGTAACAATATATTAACAAAGTACGAGGTTGTTGGCATTTTCTTCTATTTAATATGATCATTACATTAATAAAAATATTTGACTAAAATTGTAGAATATGTCATGCAGTCAAATATTATTATTTTTTATATATAAAAGTAAAATCATGATTTTGTATATTACCACCCAAAAATTAATTTTAATTTTAGTTATTCAAAAATATTACTATATATTATTTTTTATTTTTGTCTCTAAACATATCTCTTGCTTTTAGAATCAGTAGAAGATAAATAACAAAAAAAGGGCTAAACTCGTAAAATTCATAAATAATTATAAAATAGATTTGTATAAAAAAAAAATTTGTGCAAAGATAGAGATATTGCTAGCGAGCCTCGTCATGAGTCAAGGAAGAAAGATGGCATTTATGGTTTTCTAAACTTCAAAATGGAAAAGTTGAAGGCTAACGTGAATTGCCGTTGCTTGATGCAAGGTAAAAGGTTGATAGAGAAATTAGGAAAAGGATCAAATTACACAAAGAAACAGAAGAATTGGAAAGAAAAAAAATAAAAATTTAACTTTTTTCTTACTGCCACGTCAGAAAGAATAGAGTTGGCGGTGAAAATTAGATCTTACAATTATTAATATTAATATTTTAATATTAAATTATCATTAAAAAATAAAAAAAAATCAACCAAACAAAATCTAATTTGGTAAATGCCTAGAATACAATACTTATTATTTCAAAACGAATACATATACATTTGTTTTTGGAGATATTCTAAAGTTATGATCTTTAATTATTTTAGACTGATTTTTTTTTGCCATTTATACTCATCAATTATTTATTAAATCAGTTGAAATTTTATTACAATTGACATTTAAAGGTTGTAGATTCGATAAAATTTAGACATGTAATATTTTTTTCAACCGAGTATGTAATAGAGTAAGGAATTTAAGAATAAATTAAAATTTTCAGAAAAAAAAAATCATTCCCAATATTCCATTTATTTATTTATTAAATTAGATATCTAAATGGCTCGACAAGTTTTTAGTATAAACCGAAGAAGCAAGAAAGTTGGTCTCAAGCCTGAATTTCAAACCCAACAGCATCCATCAGTTTGAGATTTGAAGGAGGTTGGGCCAAACCGGCAGATTTCCTCAAACTGAACAACGGAGAATGGTTGAAAGCGCAGGGTTGGCCCAAAATCAAAACTAGTTATGTTTTCTATTTTCTACTAGAAAATGGTCCGTATTCAAAATTCTAACACCCAACTCTTGCGCTGTGCCATTGGAAAAGATTTTGTAATGTTATAATTCAATAGTTTAGTGATCTATTAATAAAATATTAAAACTTTAATTTTAATGATAAAAATAAATTTTAACACCTTCAAATACAAAAAAATCAAATAAAAATTCAACACCTAAATTATAAAAAAAGGTATTGAGGGATACTTATGTAAACATTTGGAGTGTGATTTTTTTTTTTATCTTGAAAATAAGTGATTAATATAGTCAAATTTTAAAATCAAAGCAATATTTTAGATAAAGATAGATAAAAGTTAAATAATACATTAATAATTAAGTGTTAATACTTACTAAATAAAAATAAATATATATAGTTGAGAAATATATAACCCACTTGCTAAATTTATAAACTTTATCGTCCACGACATCACTTCAAGGAAATAAATAGAATAAAACTCTATTGTTGGTAAATAAAAGTTCAATGTTCCAATCGTGTAAAGACTTTTGAGGATATAAGTTGTGATCAACATTTTCTCAAACATCATTAGGGCAATCTTTTTACATCATTCTAATCTCTCTACATAGGATAATTTTTGTTTATAAAATTTTGAATACAACAAAGTTACAATCATTATTAAAGTTTTACATTCACATCGGATAAATTACTTAATTAAATAAAAAAAATCAATCAACATATAATTTAGATAAATCTAACATAAAATCAAACTAATTTATATAAAAAATTTAAACTTAAGATCTCAAAGTTTCATAACCTATTCTTCGAACAATAAATTATGCACTAATTAATTGAACTAAATGTTCGATTGCTATTTGATGAGTTTATGATATAATAATTTAAACTTTTGAAATGAAATATGATTTTAAAATTCAAATACAACTTTTACTTGTTTCACTTTTTTTATTATAATTAAAGTCAAAACAAATTACTTATCCATAAGTCTTAATTACTAAGCCAATGAAATTAATCGTTACACTTATTAAGTCAATATATACTCGACTCTCACATCATTTATTTAAGATGATTAACATTTAAAATACTCGTGTATCATAAATACACCCTTGTCTAGATCTGCTCATCAATCCGTAGAAGCATCTCATCAGTGGGTTATCTCTCAACATTTCACTTACCCATATATCATTAATTGTTAATGATCCTTATAGACTCTTTATCAACTTTCAACTGCTTATATCACATCATTATACACACACACACACACACACACACACACACACATATATATATATATATATATATATATCATATATAAGGCAAAGAGGAGATCCAAGTACAAGATCAGAACCCTTTTTCTCCAAGCTTTCTCTCCTCCTTCCTCGACCCTTACTTTCTTCCTCCACCTTAACCTTCATCACTTAGCAAACTTAAGTATCAAAATGCGTCCCAAGGTCCTAATTCTAATGCACCCTAGTCATGCTTTCTTTGCTGAGGTCCAACTTATGTCCACCTCACCTTCCGTTGAGCTCCACCTCATCACCATAAAAATTACCCTCAACACATATTTTTATATTTTTATCAGCAATAAAGACTAAAAGTAAATTAAATTAGTAACAAATATTTACACTTAATATTATTCACAAATGGGTCGATGAGATCTTGTAATAGTAAAAAAAAAAAAATCTTAAAACTTTTACATCATAGATTCAAGTTTCACTAGATATGTAGATTTAGTATAAATTATATATTTGTTTGTTGATTGTTTGTTTTGCTTGTTTATTGGTTTTTTTAAAGTATATTAAAAATTATTTTATTAGGATTATAATTTTTATTAATACATCTATATTTTATCCAAAAAAAAAATATTTTTCACACATGAATCACGTGTACTGGAATCATTGATGATAAATAGTGTCTGATACAAGTTGGATGCCCTACATTCAAACCATAGTTTGAATTAACAACTTCTATACTTAAAATCAATAATAGCTTCCGTACTTAAAACCAATAACAACTTTCACAAAATTATTATAAAAAATACATCCGAGTATTTAATTCAATTAGTATACATGTATCGGCCACTAATATAAAAGATTAGAATTTTTTAAATAATAATAAAAAAAATTATTATCACGAACGTTTTTTTATAACAGTAGGTCAAAATAATCAAAATTCTAACGGTGAAAAACTATATGATGATAAGCCATGAAGTTAGGTAGGTAAAATAAATGGCTCTGTCAAAAACCAGTGAACAAAATGAAGCTTATAGCGTTAGCCAATAAACTGGGAGCAAAATTGAAAAAGCATAGCTGAGTTCCCCCATAGTCGGCAATAGGTGTGAGGGATTTTGCCATGACCTCAATTAATATCATCGATTTTCTTTTTATAAAAATATATTGGGAGATGATGTGTTAAAACATCATTAGCAATACACATTCAAACAAAAAACAATGTGTTGTCACTTGATGTTTTCAAGTGCTTCATTGGATTCCAAATTCTTCAATTTTTTTTCTTCTTTTCTGAAAAGGGGAGTGGCGTTTCCCTTAAGCTTTTGTTCTACATTTTCAAGGATGGGTGCACCACTTTGTGTTGAAGCTGCCCCCACCATCACAATGATATCCAGTTATCCACCAGAAGAATTTTGGTAGGGTTCAACAAAAATTTGTTTGGCCGCATTTTTCAACACATTGATCATGACTTGGGGGAACATTATTGATATTCCCTTCTCTTCACAAAGAAATACCCTCAAAAACATCAAGATATTTCAATAGCATGCATGAATCATGTGAATTTATTTGACGACTTTCAAAATAAATTTTTTAAAATTTTAATTTACTTTTAATCTCTCAATTTGTATGTAATTAATTCAAAGAAGATATTATACTTCTTAAGTATTTTCAAACTCGTAATCTCTAAAAATTTTATCATTATGTATGACATTTGAACTAATAATATATTTAATTAAAAGATATAAAGAGCACTAATTAACTAGTTTAAAGTAGAGTTTGGGATGCGGAAATAATCAAATGTATGAGTAAGAAATTAAAATGTGGAGGGATTATTAATTTGTAAGGGCATAAGGTATCTTTAATTAGGCAATTCTAGTTGTTATATTGTTGGAAAAAATGGTACATTTAGAAAATATGTGGCCAACAAATAGTAAGAATAGTGGAGAAGGGGAAACGGAAGAGGGAGAGAAAAAGAGCAAGGGCTAGCAAAATTGCTTAAATAAGAAGATTATTCTTTTGTAATGATGTTCATGGGTTGGATTAGACCGTTCAAATTTGATTGGTACAATCTTGTCTAAAGTTTGGTCTGCCATGAAAGTTTAAATAAGCTTGTTCTATTATAAACAATTTATTTTATATTAGTACTAAATTTAAAAAACTAGTGTAATCATTGTTACGACAAAACGAAACAAATCACTTGTTCAGATAAGATGGCTTACACCTCTATTTGTTTGATATCAGATTTTTTTACTATATTTGGACTATGATGCTGGAGATTTGTGTTTTTTAACAGGGAATGCAACTTTTACAAAGCAATCAAAACAAAATTTTCTTGTTGGGTATGGAAAGTTGTCCATTCATCATTGCAATCTAGGATATCTGAAAAAATTTTCTTTGAATTCTTGGAGAAGAAATTCTAAAGCAATAAATTAAAAGAATGATTTCCATTTTTCTCCAGAGCAAAAACAGAAGGAAATCCATCAGTTATTCACATTGCCATGTTACAATTTATAACTTACAATCTCACATTTAAGTCAATACAAGGATTAGCAACTGAATTCCCGAGAAAACTATGCTCTAAAACAAAGAGAAGTTGATCAGGCAAAGGACTAAAAGGAATTAAAAATCGGTCAAAAATAATAGCTCTGAAACCCCCAAGTTTTGATAAGTTCAGATCATAAGTTTCAAGTTTTTTGCAGCAACGTTTGATTGATTAGAACTCAGAAGAATGCCCGGCTACCATAAAAAACCCGAGATCCATCTTTTTTCTCATGCTCTATCTTCTTGCTGTGGTTTTGAATCACATCACCACGATCTTCACATTCGGGTTTGTCAAGATCCATTGGGAGCTTCATCTTAGCCAAAGATTCAGTAAACTGTTGCATGCTCCTCATGTACATGTCGACTATTTGTTGCTGCATTGCTGACTGTTCTGCTTCAAGATTGATGTTTCCGAGTGGAGCTGAAAACACTTGTCCGAATTTAACAGAATTCATGCTTCCTTCTTTGTTGTTCTCTTCTTCCTTGCTGGAATAATTCGAGTCTTTCTCGTCTCTAGTTTCACCTCCTTTCTTTGAAGTTGGGGTATCCGGACAAGCACCCGAGCTTGGATTAGTCTCGGTAGTGACTGATGCGTTGAGGGAATTTGGTGACTCCCCACCAAGACTCTTCTTCTTCTCAGTAGAGTCAGCTGAGTTCCTATCATCGCTTAGGCTTGTTGTAGAAGAGCTAAAAAATCCAGAATTTTGAAGGCTTCCATTTGGAGAAATGAATCCACCATGATTTTCTTCGGCTGTCATTTCATAATCTTCAACATGCTGATGAGAGGCACCCAGGTGAAGAAATGAAGCAATTCCTGGCCTTGAGTTCAAACCATCAAAGTACTCTGACACCATTTGCTGGTTCTCCCTAACAACGTTGATATCAGGAAATTCTATCCTGGAATATTCAACCGGGTCTAAAATGACTTGGGATATTTTTCTGTCAAGCAATACTACTTCTGCTGATATTGAAGAGCTGGTTGTGGTGGTTTCAGGAAAGGAATTGGTCTGGGAATTGACAGGTATAGAAGTGTTCAAAGAAAGACTCAATTTGACGGTACCAGCAGGAGAATGGAATAGATCAGTGGAAGTTAGGCTATAGTCATGAGTCACTTTTCCTTTGCCAACAACCTGTGAAATTGGAACCAGAGCAAATCCCAGTAGCTGATCTTCCATGTAGTTTCTAGCCCTACTAAGCATCCAAATCTCACATTTGAGGACAGCATCAATTTGATTGACTTTCATCATCAGGTTGTCATTGAATTCGGGATTCTTTCCTCCTCCATTGATGATTCTAGTTGAGTGGGTATCATCAGGGTTATAGGTGAGAGAGAATTTGGCATAAACATCTTGATTGTCATAGATACATATATTATGGATATTCCTAGCATGATGGACATAGATTTCAAGAATGCCCGAAAACTCAGAATCTCGGTCTGCATCATCAATGGTGTTTGAATTTGGGTTAAAATGGAAACCAGATGATCTACTGAAAGAATCCATCACTAGAAATAGGATCGCTCTTGAGAATTTCAAGGCTGATTGGCAACAAAGATCTGGCAAATAAGAAAGAACAAAACGAAAACAGAGATTGACGCAGAGAACAATCAGATAAAAAAAAATGACAACACTTGATGAACTTAACACAATGCAATTCTATCTCCCTGATGAACTTTAAGTTATTTAGGAGGTTTTAGAAGAACAATGCATGAACTGAAGGAAAAATCTTGAGAGCCGAAGGGAAACTTAGATGTAAAAATGAGAAAAAGCAGAGATCAGCTAGATTAACAGTAATGCATAGGAAGCTACAGTTTCTGGTTCTATATCATTTTTGCTTCAATGGTTGGTGAGGAAATTTTGCAAACCAATTCATGAATTCTAGGACAAGCATGGAAGGAAAGAAGAGAAGGAAAGGTGAGAGAGAAGAGAAGTCACAAGGTTGAGGAGGTTGATTTGTGCAAGTTGAGCAGGGTGGGTATGGTAGTAGGTGGAAATCAAGAGGGAAGAAAAGAAAATCTAAGATGTTGATGAAGATGATTATGAGATGTTACTTATGGTTGTTTTATTTTTGCATGCTGCTCTTGTCTTCTTGTTGGGGTGGGTGAGGGATAGTGATTTTTGGAGAGGGATTGCTTTGCTTGACATTGCAGCTTCCACTTCCAATGACTAAATTAGCTCCACTCAGGAAAATGGAGGTCCCACTTGGTACCCCCATCTTCATTATCAGCTTTTCCACCTCTCTTTTGGATGCACCCCTAAAGCTTGAAGACAGGATGATCCCACTCTATTCCATTTTCCTGTACACATTAAGATCAGAAGAAATGTCTCAATAGTGGCGTACCAACTTGTTTGAAAACAAGATAAATCATGATTACAAGGGAAAAGAAACTCTAAATTGATGAATACAACGAATGTAAAACTTGCTTAGATTTGCGGAGTTTTACAAATAGTTACTATTCTACCTATAGTTCTGACATGAATGCCCAAACCTCCATCATGCTATCTTGAATTCTATATCAGCCTCATAATTGTTAATAGAAATCAAATTTTCATTTCTCTTAGCATATTATGCCAAATTATATCAAAATGCTTGGCAAGGAAAAAGGTTATAACGAGTTCAGGATAACAATCCAAGTCATAAGAAAATCAATGATTTAAAAAAAAAAAAAACTTGTATATATAAGAAATTAACTAAATAAAAAATCATTGACTTATTGACTAAGTTTTAGATAAATTACTATGGTATTGAAGTTAAAACTTAGAGGTTACAAGTTTAACGGAATTTATATGCATAATGTTTTTTTTAATCAAATAAATATAATTGTAAAGATTCAAGAGAACATTAGAATTAAAAAAAAAAAAAAAAAACTAAAAGAAGTATGTATTGAGATATATATTAGAAATAGAGATAGAATGAGTATATTAAATTAGATAGAAATATGCTCCCAAAAAAATGCTTGGGACAATGATCAGTGATCGTTTAATTTATTTATTCGTTTGTTTTCTTCAGTCGTTAGCTTGACTTGAAACAAGAAGTTTGAGACAAAATGTCAACACTTTTTCCGCATTTAGCGAAATGGTAACATTAATTCAAGGACCAACTCTTTCTCGTGAGAAAATTGGTTTTGCGTCATTTACTGTCATTTGATAAGAAACATGTTCAGTAATTTCTCCAAAATCCCATTAAAATCAAGAACAGCTAGCATCCCCAAAAATCCCAGGTTCAGTCAACAGCACAAATTCCTGCTAGGAACCCAAAAATCCAACTCACTTTTTGAAATTAAGCGCCTCAGGAATAAGAACTTGCATTTCTTATATATTTTAAAAGTCAATTTATGAAGAATGGTAGGCTAGGATGACTATGACTCTGGACTAGCAAATAGCAATCCTCTAATTCTTATGCGGAAAATGGTAGTAATATTGGGTTGTTGGATTTAGTTGAAGAAAGAAATTGAAGAACACTTTGAGGGACAACAGGGTGAAACAAAGAAAATTAAGAGCAAAATGAAATGAAGAGGTAATAAATTTGACGTTATAAATATTGAACTAAGAGTATCGCAGCTTGATGGAAATACAAAAGACATAACATGATTCAAATCATCAAAATAATTTCTAATAAAAAAAACGTGTGCAATTTCAAGCCACTCCAATCTATCATCTAAGCCTTTTTTTTTTTTTTTTCTTTTTTCATTTTGAGAGAAGTCAATTTCCTTTGAAAAGATTATCTAGCAGGAGCTAAATAAATCCTTGATCTTCCAGCAAGAGCTTCGTGCCTTGACCAAATAATCACAAGTCACGGCACTTCCGAAAATCAAAATAAAATGCTGCATACCATAGTAAGCATAAAAAGATTACACAGAGACACTTCTTTTCTTTTTTCATTTTTTTGCCTTTTTTGGCTGAACCGCCATACAGGACACGGAATGTAATTTGTGAATTAATGGAATTAATTTGTGTCTCAGTTACAACAGATCCCCACCAAGTCACCAACCCGTGGTTCCACCGTCCATCCAATACCAAGGGGCAATCGCATTTATTTTGTCCCACAGAAAGAAAAGAATACTGTACAAAACGAGGATCAAATATACAGGCCTTCTGGTTTATCAAAGCACCTAATCCTTTGATACAATGTTTATTACACACTTTGCATCAAAGAAATCACTTCCGCCCCAGCCTCATCAAATGCTCTTGATGTTTCGCTGCGGCTGCCTTATCAGCTGCTTCACGCTTAAGTGCCCTCTTTGCACGTCGACCCATTGTACTTTTTGCTACCTCTTTCTTCTTAGGCTCAGTTGAGGACCCAGCACCGGAGTCATGGGTGTTGGATTGATGAACAGGTCTGGCTTCTAGGCGCCCTGATCTTACATATCCATTATCACCCCATCTCCGATTGCCAATGCGGAGACTATGTGAACTGGTGTAATAAACTTCATCTTCTTCTTCTTCATCATCCTCATCTTCATATGGATAATAATAATAATCTTCCAGATCATCATATACCTCTTCACGTTCCTCCACATTTAATGGTTTAAACCATGCAGCTCTAAGAAGCAGGCACACACTTTCCTCAAACATGTAGTCATTTATCCTGATAAAGCAAAAGGCGAAAAGTCAACTACTGGGATATCGCAACCAGAAATGAATCCCAATTAGGCAGAGGTCATGATTCAAGATTACCTGCCATCAAGAGAACGATGAACATTGAGGAACTCAAATGGGTGTTTACACTGAGGGCATGTAGGCACCTTACTGTATGTTGCCCATTGAAGGATGCAAGTCACACTACAAGAACAAAGATCAAATCACCCCTAAGAAATAAAATCCCATGCCAATCCACTGAAATATAAAATATGTAACAAATGTCAAATGTAAAGCATATTGCAGTACGGAAACAAAAGAAAAAATAAGTTGCCAACTTGATCCTGCACTGACAGAGTGAATAAGTCAATTGGTGAGTCTAAAAAACCATGATATATAACCCAATTTTTTCCAAACATTGATGCTCTGACAGGTTGAGAAGCAGAGCTCCGCGCATGAAAGTAAATAGCAAATCCTATCAAGTATCAACTAATTGACAATTCCAGCAGAAAATGATCTGAACAAATGAAGGCAAATAAACTGTTTTCCATTTCTTTTCTAAATACCCACAATAAGAGAAAGAAAACGTAGATCTCATCCACAAAGTTGAATGAAAAGAAACATGACAACCATGAGAGAAAAGTAGCAATGAGGGGTTCTAGATTGTGCAACTCACTCAGTTAATTTTAATAAAATAGTTAAACATATCACTTGCACCAAGTACCACCCACAGACTCACAATAGTCTGAAGGGTAATTAACCATTCTTTAGTCAGCTTTAGTGCTTGAACTCTTTAAATCAAATTTAGAATAAAATTGCAATAATGATTAACAGAGTTTCACAGAAAAGCAAGAACCACAAGCTTATCAAAATCTTCTATTATGATAATCTTCAAACAGTTTAAAGCTTATAAAACATGTAATAATACATCCAAATTAAATAACCATCCAAACTAGAATCAACACAATGTAAAATTGCCCTTTTCTCCCTCCCAAAACAGAGGACATGCTTCAACACAATAAAGTGTACAATAACTTGGATCCAATCTGTAGCCAACATCAAGGCACTTAACTACATGTTCCTTGAACACATCACAAATTAGATTTTTCTTACAAAATAGAACTTTTTTCTATATTAGATTTTTATTTCCTGAAATTTAAACTCACCCAGAATTAAGAAAGATTTCAACAAGGGTAAATGAGTGTTCATCATGGATTGTTTGGTTTCAAGATTGCTCTGTTGTTCGGACTCGACAAAAATCAAGAAGTATCCATGTTGACATGACACGACCCTGGATACAATCTGGGATCTACATCTGACACAACAAAACCTTCGGACTCATCTTCATCCCATGACCAGAACCCCAAAGCCAACAAGAGATCTCTAGATCAGTGTTACCATTGTGGTTAAAGAGAGAGAAATGTGAGAAAACATTGGAAATATTTCATAGAGAGAAAAATAAGAAACCAATGAATTAAGAAAAAGAAGGCAAAATAGAGAGAAAAGAAAGAAGGAAAAAAAACGTGGCTGGTCATGGCTTCCTCTTGGTTGCACATCTAGAAGAGAAAGAACCAGTTGCTGTGGTTTTTTTTTTTTTTTTTTGGTACTTACCAGTTGCTGTGTTACGGAATAAGAGAAAAGAAACTATAGTTTTCAACAAGGTTGGGTTTTGGGCCTTAAGCCCACAAAGGTTTTATTTTTTTTATTTGAACTAAGCCTTCAACCTTTTATTTTCCTTGTTCTTTACCAGCAGAGCCTTCAACTAAAATGGGTGGACAATTGATTATAATCTTTATGCATTTTGATCTCAATAAAAATATCATGGCCCAATTCTACCCAAGAAGACTTGACCTTCTAATTTTCCTTAAATATGCAACCATAAAATTTCGTAGCTCCCCTTCAAAATAAGTCGACTTTACATTAACCATATGCAAGAAAACAGATCGATATGTTCACCATTCCTTATAATCATCACCTAAATTAAATCAACTCTCATAATCAAACACATAATTCATGTAACTATATTTGCATATATAAAAGTATATATTATACTTAAGTACATGTAACAGAGCACCCCACCCACATCCTCCTCTCGGACCATTTTATGCAGTATCCCAGTGTCTTAGGTTCAAGCCATTGACGAGTCAGACATCTAGACCCTTACAAACACCTGAAACTCGTACCCAAGTCCAAGCAACATAGGAGATTGTGATATCATTGGATGGGAGTTACAAACTCAAAGGCAAAGCAATGCCCAGTCTCTCTAATTTAAAACAATTTTAGTTCACAAGCAAAAAGAAAAGGAGGCAAATGGAATCCTCATGAAGCAGTAAAATTGAGAGTAGAGAATTGTAGTATAGTTGGAGAGAATAAGTTAATGGAACTAGCTACTTGTTCAGTGTTTTAAAAATGCTTCTTAACTTATAATCAATCCTAGTAACTTATTTCTTGAGTCTTAATTCCAAAACAGACTAGTTCAACACAACAAACCAACTTTTTGCAGTCAAAAGACACGTAGACAGCAAAGCATGCATTTAGAGATATAACATTAGCAGAATACTTAAACATTCAATGAGTTCCTGAGTGATCTAGCACAAACATGCAAATGACAGACTACAAATAATTTACCTCTTCTATTAAAGTTTGGCAATATTTAAGATTTCAAAAGACAGTATAAAAGCAAGGAATTTTTCAATTACTCCACTTTGAGGCACAAAGTATGCCTCACAGTATGCAAGCCATCCTAAAATTTTAAAACAAAAGAAACAATTGAAAAATTAGGAAAATGAGTAATAAAGGAAAGAACAATACATTCTTAATAAGAGCTGAAAATCTCAAATATGCACTCTTGACATCTCTTTTGCAAAATCTATACTACAAAGTCCAATCCTTTTATACGCTATTATCATTTCCTGACAAGATATAGAACCATATAAAACACAGAATTTAAATCATCAAAGATAATGCCATCTACCTCAAGGAACATGGAGAGAGTGAGATACACATATATTAAAGCATTCAATGTCTAGAATTTCTAACTTCAATCAAACAGCTATATTGTTTAGGAGCATGTTGTTAAGGGCACAGATGTTGAAGCTAACATATCTCCTCTATTCTAACGTTTTTGTTATATTTGTCGCACGTCATATACACAAATGTCTCACAAAGGAGGAGACATATTGGCTTCAACATATGTGCACCCAGCACTATCCATCATCAAATTAACAGGCCAGTTTTCAAAAACACAGAACTAGAGACCCACACATATTCCCATTTGGATGATATCAGCATGAGCATTAGCTACCATGCCACCACATCTAAATCCTCCCCAATGTCCTAGGCTTCACTTCCCTTTTCACAAATGACAACAGCAAAGACCTCAACTCCTCCTGTGACCCTAACCTCCCTTAAAAGCAGTGCACCAACTCAAAAACTAAAGCACCAACGGTCACCAAAACTAAAGGGAAAAACTATAATGAACAAGATTCAGGACCAGTATAGAATTAAAGTGACGAACGAAAAAATGAATTATAGATAGTTGAGTAAATCTAAATCTATAGAATTGACTATCACTAAACAAAAAGTTAAATCCTTCAGAAAAGACTATCATGACAACGACAATAACAAAACAATACTTTGAAGTTTCCAGCCAAACAAAAAAAAAAAACCTTAAAACTGTAAAGAAGCATGGAAACAGAACATAACCCAGGAAACCGCATAGAAATAAGTATGGGCAAGAGATACGTTAGACAAACCAGTAAGCATGCTCGCAACCTTTTACAAGAGCAGTTTCCTGCAGCACTATCTTATCTAAACATATCGCGCATATTCCACTATGGTTTTCGCAACCCTCCTCGCCAATAGGCCCTTTGTTCTTCGTCTCGTTCTAAACAAAAATTGAATAATCGAAACAAAAAATAAAATAAAATAGAGTTCTCATACAGGAACCTCCATTAATTTACCAAAAAAAAAAAGAGCAATATTTGAAAATTAATAAACTGTTTCATCAGCAAGACGAGGAAATTTTAACAGAAAAAAAAATCAAAATTTCTACTTAGTGCATAACCGTTAACCAACCATTTCTCCTTGTTTCCTTTCTTTTCTTTTCAGTTTTCTCAGCAACCAAACAACATTAAAAATTTTTTTTAAATAATAATTACCCATGCGAAAAAATCAAATAGATCTGGTTCTAAAAACTGAAAAGAATAAAATAAAATTAGAATTAAACATAAAGAAAGACAGAAAGGAGAAGAAAGAGTACCTGATCTCGAAGGGAAAGATTGGGAAGAGCGTTGACTAGCTGTTCACCGTCCATCTCAATGACTGAATTCATGGTTTTGATTTTAAACTTTTTCCTTTTTTTCTTCAGAACTAATCTAAAATTTTGGTTATGATTTACAGTCCTAACCTAACCTAATAAACCAATTTTTTATTTTGCAGAAAAAAAGAAATAAAAGAAAAAGTGTTTGAGATGCCAAAGAATTATTCTGATTCCACAGAGAGAGGTAGAGAGAGGACCCTCTTTGCGAAAATTCATGCCCTAACAAAGAGGTGTCGAATGTGGATGACATAAAGTGTGCTATTTATTTTTATTTTCTTTTTTAACAGAAAAATAAAATAAAATAAGATGTTTAATTTTTAAAATTATTTTTGGGGCTACAGATAGTGGACACAAAGTCATTTGGTTGGAAGGTGGAATCATTTGGTCAGACCACGTGTGTTTTATTTCACTGTTTTGCCGAAAATCAAATTGAGCAAAATAATTTATTATTTTTTAATTTCTTAAAAACAATCGCACCCCTAATTTGTTAAATTAAGCAACTTAATAGTTTAATTTTAAATTGAATCCAATAATTTAATAATCATATACATGTATATAGACAAGGCCTATAACAATAAAAAAATTTATAAATTTTATCATTTTATTTAAATAATTTTTATATTTTATTACATTTAAATAAGAATTTAATTTTAATTTAAATCTAAATAAATTCTTAACATTTAATTTATATTCAAATAATCTATTAATATTTATTTTACATTTAAAAAAGTCTTTAATATAAATTAATTTTTTAAATAAAAATTTATTTAAATAGAAATCAAATAATAAAAATTTCTTAAATATAATAAAAATATAAAAATTTATTTAAATAAAATGATTAACTTTTTAAAAAATTAGTATTTTAATAGTACATAATTAAAGTCATTTGACTTTTTAAATTAATAAAGAAAAATCCATTTTTGGCTTTTACGAATTTTTCTAGAACATTAAATTCAATTATTTACAGGAGGTATAAGATGATTAATGAAATTTTAATATTTTTACAACCAAAATATTTTATTTTTATTAATTGAATCAATCTCCATTAGCAGCAATCTTCTTTGGTAAATAATATATAAATTTTGGTTGAAGCTTGAATTTTTCAATTATGAAATAAAATAACTTTCTCTCATTTAATTTATTTTTAAAATATTTTTGATTTGGTAAGAGAAAGAATTTTGGTTTTAATTTTCTTTTTCTTAAGGAATTGTGCTTTGCTAAGAAAAGAAGATTTCGTGTTTGGCTAAAAATGAAAAAGGGTTCCATATATTGGGTCAAAAACATAGGGTTAATTAGAATTAAGCTTCCTTGACCTTTTCTTTTTTTTTTTTCTTTTCCCGGTAATAATTAAGGCCTACCCGTTAACTTGAGATTTGAGGCTGCTGCCGTATTCCTTCTTCCGTTTTTTTGCTGGATAAGCAAGAATGGCGTATCCTTGTTTGTAATTGTAACTGTCACGCAAATGCTTTTTGTTCTCGGAAATTTCGTGTTAAAAATGGTGTTCGGAAAGGAAAGTCTGCATTATAAGAGCTGCATAAATTTGATAACTTAAAATTTATAAAAATAATATAAATATAAATATAACACAAATTAAAATTTTAATAAAAATTATATAAAAATTATGAAATGTATTTTATATTTTTTTATATAGATAAGAATTATAAAATGCAATTTTTATAAAAAATATAATATAAAGATTTAAATATAAATTGAAAAAAATGAAGATTCCAGTCTTTCTCTCAAATACTCTCTAGTCTCCAAGTGGGTATCATCGTCACTATTATTATCATTTTGCATGTTCTTTTGCCAAAATACAATTTAATTTTTGCATAGTAATTTAATCTTTTTTTTTATTTTATGAGACTATAAATTTTAATCTAAATGTTAACGAAATTAAAATTCTATCAAAATTTTAGTGTCATAATATGTAAATTTGAAAATTTATAACTAGAAATAACTTAAGGAGTTATGAAAAAAATATTTTTATCTAAGTGTGATTGACCACTTAATGAATTTAACATTTAAGGAGCTCTTAAACTTAACTAAAGATCTCTTAAAAAAATAAGTTTTGGTCTACTAATCAGAACAGAATTCGAAAGTTCGATTACATATAAAAAAAGTTATAGCACTCCCACATGTCTATTCAAAAGATGGTATCATTTTATTTTAAACTATCTTAAAGTCTTGATTCTAATAGTTTTAAATTTAATATCAGAAATAATTTTTAAAATTTCTCTATCAATCTAGCAAATTTTGTAAAAATATTTTCTTACCTCAAGAGTATTCAAGAATCACAATTATTTTCTTGAAAAGGCTCCGTCGTCGAAAAAACTTAATCATTTATTTTTTTGTTAAAATTTTGTTTTATTGAAAATATATCTATTTCTTTTGCTATTTGGGTTAAAATTAAAAATATTTTCTCACCTAAAAATATCTTAGATAATCATCCATTTATGATTATTAAGATTTCATCTTTGAAATTTTTTTTACAATTTTTATTTCTATTTCTAAATTTTTCACCATTTGGGACTAATTTAAAAAAAAATTCTATAAATTTTATTCTAAATTTTTCATCATTTTAGTCTATTTAGAATTTAAACCCTTGTTAATTTCCTAATTCTTAAAAACAAAATAATATGACAACTATCTTTGAAGTCTCATTAAATTCTTCCATCATTTGAGTTGAATTTAAATAAATTTTTCACCTAAAAATTTCTTAGAAAATTTATCATTTAAAATTTTGAAGATTCTTATCATTGGATAATTGTCAAATATTTTAACCCAAAATTTTAAATTATATTGTAAATTTTTATTTAAAAGTAAATACAATTTTTTTATTGAAATTTTAATTAAATTATTCCACCATTTGGGTAAAATTTAGAGAAATTTATGACTTAAAGATTTCTTAAAAAATTTATCATTCAAAATTTCTAAAAATCTCATTATTAGATAATTAATATTTTAATTCCAAAATTTTTATTAAATTTATGGTTTTTATTTTTATTTTTTTTAAATTAAAAATAAATATTAATTATTATTATTGAAACTTTATCTAAAATTTCCTCCATTTAGATCAAATTTTAAAAAATTTATCACCTAAAAATTATATAGAAATTAATCTTTTACAATTTCTAAAAATTTTATCATAGAATAATTATTATTTATTTTCAAAAGTATATTAATATTTTATTTTATGTTATAATTTTCTTCTCTAATTTTCCTACAAATTAATCATGCAAAATACTTTAAAGAATAATAAATAAAGAATAATCATAAAAAAAATACCCAAATAGGAATCGGCTTTACTTGGCTAACGTGATGCAACTTGGCTATAGAAAGGGAAGGCGGCTAGAACAGCTCGAATCCCGGCTCGGTTTGGCTAAAGCCAAAGCTTCTAGAACATAGGTCAAAGATGTGTTTACGACTGGGTCAGGCCAACCCAAATGAAAATGTGTGGATCTGACAAAAACTAAAACGTCAAAACGAAGTCATTTAACAAAGGTATAAAAGGGCCAAATTTCTTTTTTTCCTCAAATTTCTCCTACACCTTCTTTCTCTTCAATTTTTTCTCTCATTTTCTCTTTAAAAACCAATGAATGCTGACTGTCGTATCGTGGAATCCTCATCGAAATTTGAAAATATCGTCAAAAAGTTCAAAGTTCGTTAGAATCTTCACCAAAAACTAGAAAAGTTTGCCTAAATCTTCACTAGAATCTAGAAATTTCATCAAAAAGTCTAAATGTTGTCGAAATCTTCACCAAAAACTGGACAAGTTCATCAAAAAATTCAACAAATTCTAAAATTTTCTAGAATTTATGAAAACTCCTAAAAAATCACTAGTTGAACCTTAGAAAATAAATTGAACTTTTCCATAATTGAATCAAAACTTTTTGCCATAAGCTTTTCTAAAAATAAAAAATTAGACTTAACTGCTTGCCTCTCTAATTTCTATGTATTCCTTTTTTTGGTGATCTCTTTATGTATTCTATTACTTGATTTAGGTTTGTATTTTTAAAGATCTGATCATAAGAACCCAAACTAAAAAGAGTTTTAATTACTCTTCAATTATAGTTTCAAACTTTAAGTCCAGTTTAAACTTTACAATCCAAACAAACAATTTCATACAAACTCAAACACTTTATTTTTCTTTTTCTTTTTTATTATTTATTTATTTAAAAATTAAACTGTTACAACCTCAAATAAATTAGAGTATCTACAGTTGTCCTTTTTTATGTGCACTTTCTGTGAAATAGGAACTGTGCAAAGACGTAGACAACCCTTATATCCAGATAATCAACTTGACACACTTATTCTTTTTTAAAAATTTTTTAAAAACATATACTCAAACTATTTGAATAACATAAAAACTCCTCTAAGCAGAGGCTCACAACTTTTGAAAAATATATAAGGCTCCTATAAATAGAGGCTCTACAACTTTTAAAAAATAAATAAAACTCCTTTAAATAGAGGCTCACAACTTTTGAAAAATAAATAAGGCTCCTCTAAATACAAGCTCAACGACTTTTTAAAAATAAATAAAACTCCTTTAAATAGAGGCTCATAACTTTTGAAAAATAAATAAGGCTATTCTAAACAGAGACTCATAACTTTTGAAAAATAAATGAGGCTCTTCTAAATAGAGCTTCAATGACTTTTAAAAAATAATAAAGTTCCTCTAAACAAAGGCTCTTAATTTTTGAAAAATAAATAAGGCTTTTTCTAACAGAGGCTCAATCACTTTTGAAAAATAAATAAGGCTTTTTTTTAACAATCATGCCTAGAGGTCTTATAGATCATGTTTAAAAAAATTGTAGGAGATTATAACCAGAGGTATTACAAATCATTCCTAATATCGAAAAATACTCCTTTGAACAAAGGCTTCACAACTCTTTTTGAAAAATTTTTCTTATCCATGACTGATTTACTTGAAATATCTTTTTTAAGGATTAGAATCTTATCTCATAAGTTTCTTTTCAAATGAGAATTTAAAATTCATTCACTAAAAAGTCTTTATATTTATCTTTTCCATGTTGGATCTTGTAATCCCTATTTCCTAGATTCATGCACTAAACATTCCTAAATGTAATGCATGCTATGCAAATATCAATTAATATATTTTCAATTGTAGTGCATAGGTTCTCAAGCCTCTTTTTTTTGGATCTCGAACTCTTCAATCTTCAAGCACTAAGACCAAATCGATTTAACTCTTAATCATCCCTCTCATTTAATTCTTATATTTTCCTTTTAATGAAATCTTTCTT